TAGGGTCCTGCAAAAAGGAGAAGAAAATCAAACTCTCAAAACACAGGTCCTCGTGGTGTGGGGACCCCCAACCATACTACTTTATAACTGCTACTTCGTAACTGCAATTTTGCTACTGTTACGAATCATAACGTAAATATCTGATATGCATGATATCTGATATTTGATCCCCAAAGGGATCTCAAGCCATTGGTCGAGAACTGCTGGTCTAAAGTTAACCTCTGTGAACTCTAGCTATATAAAATGCCCCTCTTTTGTTCTTAATCTATCCCGTAAGTACTGCAAATATTTTAACAGCAGTTCAACAGGTGGGAATAACGGAAGTGAGAAACATGTAAGAAAGTTACTGCAACCAGAGAATATAATGGGACAAGCTGTCTCCTCAACCTTTGGAAGGATAAATTAAAACACTTATAGTCAACAAATGCTAACAATATGCTTGCTCTAGAAGGTACAAAAATGGACAGCACATGGCCCCACTATAAACAACTATGGCATCCATATCTATGATTGGTGGGTATTGAAAGCACCATCTGCAAAGCAACAACTAAAAGAAGGAGGCTACTTAGTTCTGCTGAGAGCATGGAAAAAGAATACATCCTAATATAAAGAAACAAACATATGAACAAGTAGCATAAGCAAACTACTGCTATTAGAAACAGAAGAATATAAAGGTGGCACTGGTTGACCAGAGTAAACTAAAACAAGGAGCAAAGCAGATTGCATTTGAATAGTAGCATCTAGCTGTAGCACAAGATAGAGACGGAAGCAGAAAAGTAGTCAAGGTAACACAACAAAGCCAGGTTACATGAAACATCTCTGCCAATCATAAAGTCACCCAAAAAAATAATTCTTAATGTGAGCTAAAATTTTTCTTAAGCCAAATTTTCATCAATTGAAGAATATCTTTCTTTCACTAAGGACAAGCAAAACAAAAAGCAGAAAGTAATGGAAAACATCAAAGACTTCATCTAGCAGAGGGACAGGATCTTTAGCAATTACTATTGGACAATCCTGAGAAGGAGGTAACTACTCATATTTTATTTTAAATGTGACCAATTTTCCTACTTCACACAACACCTCAAAACACATAAGCTGAGCTGGAGAGATGGCTCTGAAGTGAGGAGCACAAGCTGTTCTTCCAGAGCACCTTGGTTCAGTTCCCACCATCCACATGGTGGCTCATAACTTCTAGAAGATCTAGTGTGCTCTTCTGGCCTCCAGAGACACTGCATGTACACGGCGCACAGCCACACATTCAAGTAAAACACACACACGCATAAAATAAATAAATTCTAAAAACAGAGACACCCAAACACACACATATCTACACAAATCTCTACATAACCTATTTAGAAACAAAATCTAAGTCTATACTTATCATATTTGTGAGTTTTTACTATTAATAGCAAAATAATAAGAAACAATAGATCCTGGGCATGCAAAAATCCACATCAATACTAAAAGAATAGTGCCTTCATGCTCACTTCACCCTCCTAATGGAACCAATGACAAATTCCAGTCAGAATTTCCATCTTCAAGTTCATTCTATACATGCCGAACTAACTCACTCACTTAAGCCCAATGCTGTATAACACATCTGATATTTCTTAAACATGTGGCATGACACAAGAATGAGAACACATGTAAAGCTTTTCAACAAAATGATCAATCTCCTATTTATTGCATCTATGGGATTTGAGGGGTGAGTATATATGTTCACTGACAAACACTAGAAGGTGATAGTCTGTGTGAAGATCACTGTTCTATGCCAGTGGCAATAGGTACTTTTGTTTCCTAAAAAAATCATCTGCCCTCTATGTATAGCAAAAGAACTCAAATTACTCATTTTCCGAAATGAGCATTTGGTTTCAAAATTACAGAATGAATAAAGTTACCAAGCAAAGACTTGTTTTCATGCTTCAAACTAGCTAGGTAATTCTTTACAAAGCATTTTAATCTGAGACTTTAAAACATGCTACTAAATATAGAATTCATATTACTGAAACTCCATTATTTAATAAATTCTATTACAGGAAATTTCCTGGCATGTTAAGCAATACTATGAATAATTAAAATAATATATAATGGACAAACTAAATTAAGGAAGAACATTTTCAAATCTAATATCCTTGAGATTTTTTTTAATTGGTTTGTTGACTCACTGAATTTTGGCAATTTGCAATCAGTTCTCTAATTATGTCTACACCCAAGCATCGCTATTAAACATTCACTCTTTATGGAGTATTACACATATTTTAATAAATATAACTTCTTAAACTATCAACATACTTCTAGTGTTACACATTAAAAACCAATAAACATCAGGAAGTGGGGGACTTCTATGGGGAAACTCAAATTATTTATTAATAACACTGTAGAATAAACAGGAATTCTTAATAAAGTACACAGTGGTGGGTCAGACAGATGGCTCAGCAGGCAAAGGTGCTTGCTGTCAAGCCTAACAACCTGCATTTGATCCCCAGGACCAACATGGTAGGACAAAAACAGACATACACCAGTTGTCCTCTGACTTCCACAGGTAGTATACATGCATGCACAAGTGAGCACACACCCACAGGTGCGCGCACACCCACACAGATACAATAACTGTAATACAAACTTCAAAACAAAGTATTCAGTGATACTAGATACAAGTTTTTGTGTTATAGATAGTTTTATGTTCTGTCTTAGTCACATGCATGTAAACCATAAGAAACCCAGAAATGTATTCTTGGTGAAATCCAGAAATGTGTATTTTTGTAACTTGAGCTATTTAGTGCCCTCTTTATCTACTCAAACAAACAAATGACTTCACTGTTCTCCCTTTATCATTATCACCTCACAAAGCTTTCCTGGGTGTGGCAGCAAGGGCCAGTAATCAGCACTCAGGAAGGAGGGAAGGGCAGGTATATCTATGTGAGTTCAAAGCCAGCCTAATCTTTGTCCACATTGAAAGTTCAAGGCCAGCCAGGACTACATAATGAAACCCCTGACTCAAAAAAAGTCAAATAAGGACTAGAAAGATGACTCTGTGGGTAAGAGCAGTTGTTGCTCTTTCAGAAGACTGGAGATTGATTCCCAGCACCCACAACCATTCACAACTCCAGCTCCATGGGAACTTACACCCTCTTCTGCTTCCACAGGCACTACGTACTCACACCATGTGTGCATACATATAGGCAAAACACTCAAACATATAAAATAAATAAATTTAAAAATATTAAATCAAATAATTATTTGCAAAATCTTTCTTTGTGCAAAAAGTCAAATCTATGACAAATACTTCCCATAATAATGTCCGTGACAAAATACAGAAAGTAGAGAGGGTGGTCTCTGTCATATACAGAGGAGCAATTTCTTTAGCTGGGGCTGGTAGCAAATGACAGATTAAGTACATGTCGCCAGACTCTACACTCTTACATGTAATAAATACAAAGTGTTAGCTTAGGACACATCAGCATCCAACTGCCACTGATACGGAATAAAAGCTGATCTAACATATATACTAAGTCTAGTCAGTAGGTTTTTAAAAATTGTTTCTGAATCATTAACCTCAACATTAAATGCTACTTAACAGCAGAGACTAATTACCATTCTATGTGAAGCTTACATGTGTTGTATAATTCAAATCTCGTTGCTTAAAGATGATTAAGAGCAACTGAATATGGAGTAATCCAAAGAGAGGGCATGTGCATAATTCAGATCACAAATATGGAAAGCAAATGACTATTTAAATATAAATACGCATGCATTTGCACTAACTTTGCAACCTGTAATGCTAAGGTATACAACTTTCATCCATGCCATTCTATTGAATGCCTCTTTGTTTTAATGCTCTGGAGCAGAATGGTCTCTTTCGTGTATAACTGGGTCCAAATGGACTTATCTATAACTCGAGCACATAGCCTGAGAAAGGGAGGTTGTGAGAACTGGACATAGAAGGGCTTTCTGATCATGTGTGGCTTTTAGTTTCCTTGTCTTCTTCCTACTGACAACTCAGTGCTGTTTCTTCACTTCCTGTTTCTTCCCTCCAGCTTTCTTCTGTCCTGTTCTAAATGGTCTAAGTTGTGAAAGATTTTCAGATTAATGAAACTTAGACAAATAAATGATCATCAAAATTTTTATTAATCAAAACCAATAAACATTTCCAGATGAGTTTACTTGCCCAAACATTTAAGCAGGATACTTTCCACAACTTGCACTGTATACTTCAAGAGGTAGTACATATGAAGGGCTAATGTAAACCATGATATTCAAAAATAAACCTCCAAACAGATCACAAATAATGATTAGGTTACCATTTGAGAATATAAATAAAATATAAAAATTTAGGATCCTGTAGAGAAGGGGAAAGGGGGCTGAGAATTTGATCAACCTTTCTTATTTCAATTCAAAATATAACCAACTCAACTCAATCCTCTTGAGCCAGATAGTTCTGGAGGTGGAAGGCAGTAGAGTTTGAAGAATGGGCCATAGGTTTGTAGGACTCTTGTGAGAAAAGGCTAGCTAACACAAGATCTGTGTGGCTCCAAGCCAGATCAGAGGAGTTTAGCATTCAGGTAACTGCACAGTTTGGCTAACCTCTGGCCCTTGGAGAACCCAATAGGATAGAGTCCACTCAGCTTACTCCTGGGGCTAAGGAATGCAAGGAGACAAAGAGGAAAGCACAGAGATACATAAATATATAGATAAGAAACTATAAACATATTTGCTGGTGCGGTGTTTTAAATATGTTTAAATAAACATATTTAAAGGACTGAAGAGCCAGCACCTTTCAGTGCTTATTTAAGTCCCAATGCATATATAAGTAGGAAAGAACTAACAGACTTCCTGAAGAAGACAGATGAAGTATTGACATTAGAAACATGACTAATTAAGGAGG